TGTCTTAATAATTAGAGAAGGCTTATTTAATATGTTTTTAATAGATGCGCTATGAATAACTATCTCTCCATAATTTTTACCTAATATATTTGTAATTTATATCATTAATTTGAAAAATGCACGGTCATGAAAATTAATTTATACAATTATGTAAATCTTTCGTAATATGCAGTCTACCAATAAAATAAACATATAAAAATATCATATTTGATTAAACTATTATGTGAAAGTTAACTAACTTTATGAAACTTTTGCGCAATTCAAATTGATGCCATGTTGAATACATAGGTTAGTAATGAAATTTTTTTGTTTAATAGTAAATGAATTGATATACATGTTTGAGTACAATAACGAATGAAATTTTGTTAATAAAAAAAATGTGTAGTCATAATATTAAATTTTTTGTAATGTGTGGTCTAATAATAAAATAAACTTATCAAAAGTATCACATTTGATTAAGTCATTATATGAAAGTTAACTAATCTTATGAAATCTTTGCCTAATTCAAATTGATCTCACGGTGAATACACAGGTTAATAATGAAGGAATTTTGTTTAATAGAAAATTAATTGATATACATGGCGAATACAATAACGAATAAAATTTAGTTAGTAATAAATGAATGAATTTATGTAAAAGATATCTGATCAAATTTTATGTAAAAGATATCTTATAAAGTAAATAATTAGTTTAAAAAAATATATGTGTAATAATTCTCTGTTTTTAAGATCTAATTTTTTTTATGTAAAGATAGCTTTTGTTATGTGTAATTACTAAATACTCTCTGCTTTGAAGCTCTAATTTGGCTAGTTGAATTTCCAAAAAAAAAAAAAAAAAATAAGAAAAAGGAGAAGAGCAAAGTGGAAGGTAAAAATAGCCAAATAGGAATAGGAAGATGTTTGGTAGCAGGCTAGCAGCTACCGAAAACCTGTTTAATAGGGAAGGAATAGAGTTTTACCATAGTCTTGTGCACATGATAATAAATTCTTTAATGAACAGTACTAATAGGTGAACGGAGCTATTTTCGTGATGAACAGTATTTTGGGTGTTTGGCTTCTTGCGCTTTTAATTAAATAATTAATAACTTAAGCTCTGTAGTTTACCGGGAAAATGAAGTCACTGTATGTTTAATCGATAATTTGGAGTGGCCAGGAACTTGAGTGCATCGTTAGCACATAGAAACATATATAGTGTTGAACGAAAAGCTGTGAAGAAGTATAGGACATGCATAATAGAGAATGAAAAAATGGACATCAACCTAGAGTCCAAAGTTAATTAAAGTAGTTTATTTCAAGCAAATGTGAACTCAACTCTAATTATATATGAAGCTAATATTTTGGCCAATGCGACTCATCAACGCCTGTGCGGCCTCTTGTCAGGGGGAAATGAGTGTGACAAACTAGGCATCAATCAATTAATGAAAAAAGAATATATGTATATAATGACAAGCAGCATAATATAATTGATTTGAAGAAGACACTATATATAGAATGCATTTGTGATCCATTAATTCCACTCATCAATCATCTCTCAATCTTGACATACATCATGGAGCCAAAACCAACCATGTCTTTCCCGATCACACTTGCACTAGCTACTTTTTGTTGTATAATTATCTCCGCATTTGTGGATGCGCAGAGCGGTGGATTTAGTATCAATCTGGTCCATCGCGATTCGGAAGGTTCGCCTTTGTATAATCCCAAGGAAACGCCAGCTCGGCGCGTTGGGAATGCGGGTAGGCGATCCATTGGGCGAGTGCATCGTTTCAGTCACATGCTTCACCTTAACAGTTCGAGGTCTATTTCGGACCCTTCGGATCCTGATGCTCAGTTGACGGCCAACAATGGCGAATACCTGGTGAACATCTCCCTTGGTACGCCACCATTTCCGATCGTTGCGATTGCTGACACTGGCAGCGACATTATATGGACACAATGTAAGCCTTGCACCGATTGCTACAAGCAGGATGCGCCCTTATTTGACCCCAAGTCGTCGAGTAGTTATAGAACAGTGTCATGTTCATCCAACGCTTGTAATTCGCTCCAGAGTGAAGGAAGCTCTTGCTCCTCCGACGGCAGTGTTTGCGAGTACCAGGTGAGTTATGGGGACCAATCTCACACCCAAGGAGATGTAGCAGCTGAAACACTGACTTTGGAGTCCAAGACTGGCAACCCTGTGGCCCTTCCGAAAACTGTGATTGGCTGCGGGCATGACAATGCAGGAACATTTAGCCCCAAAGGCTCTGGCATCGTTGGTCTTGGAGGAGGACCTGCATCCCTTGTCAGCCAACTCGGTTCATCCATTGGCGGGAAATTCTCCTACTGCATGGTCCCCTACGCAGCTGCCAAGCCGACCAGTACGATGAACTTTGGCACCAACGCCGTGGTTTCAGGAAATGGTGTCCTTTCCACCCCCTTGATTTCGGATCCATCCCAACCCACATTTTACTTCCTTCAACTTGAAGCCGTTAGCGTTGGGAGCAAAAAGATTGCCTTCCAAGGCTCCTCCATTGGAGGCTCTGGCAACATTATCATTGATTCAGGGACGACTTTGACCCTTGTGCCTACTGATTTCTTCTCCCAGCTCTCTGATGCCGTCGAGACTCAGGTCACCGGCGGCACCAAAACCAGCGACCCCGAAGGCTTTTTCAGCCTCTGCTACGTGCCAGACTCCAGTCTCAAACTTCCTCCCGTCACAGCGCATTTCAAGGGAGCCGATGTCCTGCTCACTTCCGACAACATTTTCATTCAGGTCAACGATAAAGTGGTTTGTTTGGCTTTCTACGCCAACGACCAACTCAGCATCTATGGAAACGTTGCTCAACAAAACTTTCTCATTGGATATGACCTTCCAAAGCAAACTCTATCTTTCAAGCCTACAGATTGCACAAACACCTAAACCCCCCAATTCTCCATTACCACATTCATATGTGTACGTGTTTATCAATAAGTGTGTGTAAATCAAAACAACGTGATTGTTAATCTATCTACCAGGAATTAATTGTTATATCCGATCCAGACTATTAATAATATATATATACATGTGTTTATCAATAACTGTACGTAAATTAAACCAACGTGATTGTTAATCTATCTACCAGGAATTAATTGTTATATCCGATCCAGACTATTAATAATATATATATACATGTGTTTATCAATAACTGTACGTAAATTAAACCAACGTGGATGAACAATTCCTTTCGTAGTAAAATTCTTAATTTCTTTTTGGTTGGGATCATTTTTAGTTTTTCTTTGTATGACTTAGCTTCTTCTTACCAACCCATATATTTCAGTGTTTCTTAACCAGGATTATTAACACCACCGATTAAAATTATCCAAACAACTACAAGAGAAAAACGGATTTTTGCAGCCAAACAAATTGGTTCCTCCACATCCTCCTCCTACTCCGTCGACAGCGCCGGGGACCTGCAGCCCGTCTACGTCGGGAAATCGAGGAGGCGGTACCTCCTGAGCCCCGACATGGTGGAGGATGGAAGGAAAGAGAAGAGAAGTGGTCTGGTGGTGGTGGAGGAAGGAAGTAGAGAGGAGGAGATAAGGAGAGAGGAGGAAGGAAGGAGATAAGGAGTGGTATAGATTTTTTGTTTTTTTTAATAATAATACTTTTTTTTTTTAGAAAAAGATATTTTTTCGGTTGGCCGGCTAACCGAGCCTAAAACCGAAACTGACCGGTCGGTTGGCCGGCTAACCCTGACCTTTCTCACGGTCGGTGGTCGGCAGCTATAGAGGGTGGCTCGGTTTGACCGATAACTGGATTTTCGGTTTTCGGTTTTCGGTTAAATCGAAACCGACCGACTGAGTCTTGCATGGTAGGCAGACTTACCCTAACCCACATATGATTGATGACATGGGATAGATTAGGGTTGTTGATTGTATATATATGGTGTGATAGAGGTTCGGCAGCCTTTGAGCTGATTGTGATATATATGGTGTCGTTTATTTCTGTCGTGAATTGGTATTTGTTTGTGAATATTCGTGAGGCTTCTCAGTTGGTGATTCCACGAGTGAGGGACGGGTAGGTGGCTCATAAGGTTAGTCGAGATCTTCTTGAGGATGTCTTGCGGCCCTTTACTTTGTTCAGTTTTTCTTGTAATTTTGCTCTTTGTATGTCTTTCCTTCTCCCCTACATGGGGTGATCACCCAATGTACTAGGAGTTTATATTCTAAAATCGTAATTATAGGGCTATTATGTAATGTATGGATATATTAGGATTTTTATGAATGAATGTGTTTATCTAGTTGATTTCATTGTTTTTAGATGATGATCGAGCCTAAGTAGCCTAGGAAACAGTGACCCGTGGAATACGATCGAGCCAATTTACAAAATTACTAACTTGCTTATACTTGGCCTTGTTAGGATTGACTAGAGAGTGCGCTTCGACCTTTAAATTTAAAGCATGCACCCATTAGAAAACCTCTACCAATCGAATCTTATCATTGTCTTTGATTGGAGTCAAGGAGAATTTTTCTGATCGTTAGAAGTGAAACTCACCGTTCCCCCAGTTTGAAAAAATAAACCTAAAAAATGGCTTATAATGTGGGGCTTTCAATTGAAATTTTCCTAGGGATGGCATTGTTTTTAGAGATTTATTCATGTTAGACGATCACTATTAAGCAGCCTATGTATTTTGTATGTATCATTATGTTTAGTGGACTTGAACCATAGTGAGCTAGCCCACGTGAGTCTTGCATGGTAACGCAGACTTACCCTAGCCCACGGGTGCGGATACTATAACAACAGCCTATTTGTTGTTACTGTAACAACAAGGGCAACATAGTAAAATTACAATTAAATTATAAAACAAAAATCAAATCATTATCACACGCGTCTTCTTCCGCCCACCGCTCTTCCGCGCGCGGTGTTTCTCCTCCAATGGAAACCATCCCCCATTCTCCACCTCGAACACCTCCACTCCGTCTATCCCCATCCTCCGTTGGAGCGCAATCCATCATAACAACCGTAGCGGCGGCGGCGAAAAATCAGGTTCCTCTTCTCTCACTTCCTGCTTCGCCGTCGACTAACCGCGAGAAGAGCGCTCCAACTCCAACCTCCTCGACGACTGGACCTACATCGCCCATCTCCTGCCGGAACAAAAAATTCAGATCTCGTTTGTCCTCCTCCACCTTGCTTTCCCACACCATCTGTGCAGCTTCCTCCTCCGGCAATTTCAATTCTTCCATGTTTATAGGCTGTTTACAGACTCACAGCTGTTCAACAGACTCGTGAAATTCGATCCCTGGAGAAAGAGGTGGTCTACCTTATTCTGCGCGGCCAAAAAAAAAAGATGAAAGAAGGGAGTGAATTTGTTAATTTGTTTATTCTTACCAATCCCGACCCCTCCCTTATCCCTTCCTTCCTTCGTCTGATTTCTTTTTGTTGTTAATTGTTTCTTCGTTGTTAATTGGTAGTGGATGAGATGGCAATCATCTCTATGCAATGTATCTTGGTGATGTGTCCAAAAACTCATCACCTATTATTCATCCTTAATGCACTAGTAGGTTGTTTCTTAGTATTCCCGTCTTAAAGAGAATTAATGTGCTTGTTGTTTTAGTTAGTAGATATAGGAATATGACTTTGTTACGTATATAGGTATTTTGGTGAATATCCGTATGTAATTGTCATTTCAACGCTAGTACTAGAACTGAGAGTGGCAATGACCTAAACATTATGAATTTATGTGTTATGAGAAAGCATACTGGAAACCTCTAAATACAAGCCATAAAGACGGTAAAACAAACCACAAAAAACTAACTAGAAACTTCCCAAAGCAGAACACAAATCGCCTAAAACATACCAGAAAACTTACAAAGCAAACCACAAATTTTTCTAATGCACACCAGAAACCTTCTAATGCAGACAATAAGTTTGATAAAACAAACAACAAAAAATATACCAGAAACCTCTTAATGCATGCAGCAAATTCTCTAAAACAAACCAAAAATCTCACAAAGCAAACCCTAAATATTTTGAAAAGCACACCAGAAACCCTCTAATGCAAACCACAAACACGGTAAAGCAAACCAAAAACGTCTTAATGCAGACCACAAATATATTTAAACAAACCAGAAACCTCGCAAAGCAAAACACAAATATATTAAAACAAACCAGAAACCTCGCAAAGCAAACCACAAAAGTTTCGAAAGCACACCAGAAACTTCTTAATGCAAACCAGAAACCTCCTAATGCATACCACAAATCTCCTCAAACAAACTAGAAACCCCACAATGCAAACCACAACATTTGCGAAAGCACACCAGAAACCTCATAATGCAAACCACAAACACAGTAAATCAAACCACAAAAAGCAAACCATAAACGTCCTAATGCATACCACAAGTATATTAAAACAAACCAGAAACCCCTCAATGCAAACCACAAATTTTTGAAAGCAAACCAGAAACTTCTCAATGCAAACCACAAACACGATAAAGCAAACCACAAAAGGCGTACGAAAATATGAGAAACCAAACCATAAATCTCACAATGTAGACCATACATCCGGTGGTCGTTGACCGGTCAACGAAGTTCGTTGACCGAACTCCGGTGACTGTCAGTCAACAGATTCCGGCGCCGATAAGCATATTCCGGCCCCGATGACTAGATTCCGACGCCGGTAAGCATATTCCGACCGCGGTGAGCATATTCCGGCGTCGGTAAGCATATTCCGATGACAAAATAGCATATTCCGGCGACAAAAAGCATATTCCGGTGACCGGCGGCCAGATTTCGACGACCGGTGGCCGAATTCCGGCGACCAAAATTTTGGGCCGAAAATAAATTTTTTTTTATATTTTTTTTTATTATTTAAACATATTTTTCATAATGACAATTATACCCCTGCTTTGATTTTACACTAGGTCAACTCATCTAATAAAAAGTCATCACAATCCTAGCTTTCTATTTGTTGGAGGCTAGTGTTGTTACAATAACAACACAAGGGGTGTTGTTATAGTATCTAGTCCCCTAGCCCACATATGATTGATGACATGGGATAGATTAGGGTGATCGGGACACCACCCTAGCCCACATATCGCTCCTCTCCAAAGAGGCCTCGGCAGAGGTGCTACCAGATCGTCAACAGAGCCGTCTTCTGCAGATTTTGAGCCGCCTTAATCCGGCTTTTAAATTCGTTCGGTCCAGCCTGCTTAATCGTTAAAACCTTCCATTTGATGGAGTGCTCGGCCAATTGCTTCGAGAGAAGACACGTCTCCGTACCCAATCCCAGCTTGTCATTCGTCTTGGCGAGGGCTAATCCATCCTTGTTGCTGCTACTTCTAAGGAATCAATGGTTGTCGTGTTTGTTGTTGAGAGAACACAATGCATATTTTTGGCCAGACTTTTAGAAGTGTCCTGAAGTAGTTGCTACAGCGTTTTGGTTAATTGACTACAACAATTTTGGGATGTCCTGACGAAATTTTAATTTTTCATTTTAGGTTTGTCACTATAGAACCTATAATATGGCAGAACCAAAATTTTTCATACTAGTTGTATTTTTTTGACAAAGAAATATTTTGTCATAATAATTCGTCATATTAGACTCATATTGTGACGAATTTATATGATGTCATAATATTTTGTCATATTACATATTTATTATGACAAATTGTGTATGTCATTATAAGTTTGTCACAATATTGTTCTCGCACTTTATTTTAAGTAACATAATTTTGGTAATGTGACAAAGTTTGATTAGTCAAAACAGGGGTGCTTTTATTCTTTTCCATTTTATGTTCAGATAATGAAAGTCAGTGAGAGAGAGGAAATAGGGCGCGAGAACTAATTCCCTCCAGCGCTCTAAAACCAGATCCATTCCCAAATTTTTCCCAAAAAATTGAAACCCGCCGCTCAAAAAACCCTCTGTCAATTGAAACCAGTCTGTCTTCGCTGTCACATCGAATCCTCCGCGCAGCAGCGAGCAAGCGCATCGCTTCATAATCGAGTAAGACGACTATACTCTCTTCGATCACCCTCTTCCACTTCTGTCGCATCGTTTTCAGCCGATTGAGAGAAGCTTTCGTTAGGGATTTTTTGGGGGAGTTTAGGTGTTTGCCAATTGTAAGACGATTTTGTTGGGGATTTGGTTGATTTTGATAAATGGAATCCCTACATGTGCTCTTGCATGCGTAACTCAGAGATAGGAAATTTAGTTTCTGGATTCAATTGCAACCTAAGGGTTTTTTGGGGTTTATATTTTCGTTAAGACGATTGTACTGATCTAAGAACACTATTCTCTGAGTTATCAGTAGTTCTTTGATTTCTGTAAGCTGCGTAGGGATGCTGAGTTACCTGGTTTGTGTTTTTGTGGACGTTGTGTAAGCTGTCGGTTTCTACTTTGTGGATCTTGTTGTTAAGGTTCTGGTATGCTTGGTTCTGTTCACTGTGTCGACCCTGTTAGAGAAGTTTTGATTGCTTCGGTGTTGTGATTGCTTTGCTATTGCTATTTCGACATCCTTAGGGGAACATTTGAGATTTATTCTCTTATTTTCATTTTGCAGGTGCTTGCTCAAGTGAATTTATAAAGTCAACCTGCATTTTGTGATCCAAGAATCGTACCAAGTAACAGGTTAGCCTAATTTGTGCACACAGACTAAATGGATAGGGGTTGGTTGAAGCACAAGAATCGATTTTATGCTAATTATGTGAAGGGTGTTGAGTACTTTCTAGGGGTTGCCAAAGCATGTGCTGATGGTAGTGGTAGAATTAGGTGTCCGTGCAAAAAATGCAACAATTGTTGTTTCAAAACAATAGATCTTGTGAAAGCTGACTTGTTCCTCAATGGGATGGTAGAGGATTACAGTTTGTTGATATATCATGGAGAGGACTCTGATATTGGTGGTAGCGGGGCAACTGATAATTTAGAGGACAGTGGTCATAATGATATGCATGGTTTTGACATTGAAATGCCTTCTATGTTGAATGATTTGAGCCGAGCTAATGCTGCTAGGTTTGGTACATTAGGTTCTGAATCTATGAATGAGGGTTTTGGGGGAGTGAATCTGGATCCAGCCTTAGCTGAACTACTAAAAGATGCTAACTCTCCTCTTTATCCTGGGTGTAAGAAATTTCCAAAGTTATCCTTCATTATGAAAATAAAGAATAACAAAATGTTAACCAATAGTAGCGACAAAGCATTTAAGCTCAATTTGGATCTAATCAAGGAAGCTTTACCAAATGGAGAGAATCTCCCTAATTCGTATTATGAGATGAAGAGGTAAATTCATGACCTTGGGTTTGGTTATACCATTATAGATGCATGTCCTAACAACTGTGTCTTATTCCGAGGTCCTTTCCAGAATGAAAAGACGTGTCTCAAGTGTAAGAAATCTAGGTATAAACCAGGCAAAGGGAAGGATATTCCCATTAAAACAACTAGGTATTTCCCTATAAAGGATAGGCTACTTAGGCTGTTCATGACAAAGGACATTGCCAAGGACATGAGGTGGCACAAAGAAAAATGAATTAATGACGATGTGCTTAGGCATCCAACGGATGCAGAAACATGGAAATTTTTTGATAGGGACCATAGTTGGTTTGCTGCCGATCCTAGAAATGTGCGGCTTGCACTTCTTAGTGATGGTTTTAATACATTTGGGAACTTCAGTTCTAGTTATAGCATGTGGACGGTTGTGTTAACCCCTTACAATTTACCTCTATGGTTATGTATGAAGGAGTCTTTTCTGTTTCTAAGTGTGCTAATACCTGGAAAGAAATCTCCAGGTGATAACATTCATGTGTATTTAGAACCAGTAATAGAAGCTTTACAAGAATTATGGAGGGATGGGGTGACAGCTTATGATGCATATTCTCAACAAACTTTTCAATTACATGCTGCCTTGTTATGGACCATAAATGATTTTCCTGCTTATGGAATGTTGTGTGGTTGGGGTACTAATGGAAAACTAGCATGTCCTGTTTGCAATAGTGAGACAGACTCCCTTCGTTTGAAATTTGGTAACAAAGAATGTTACATGGGTCATCGTAGATGGTTAGAAACAGATCACCCCTGGAGGAGAAGTAGGAAATTCAATGGAAAGGCAGATTTGAGAGAGAAGCCTAAAATTCTATGTGGTTCAGAAATACTCAACCAATTGAATTTAGCTTTAAATTCAAATGAAATGCCTAATATGAGTCGCAAAAGGAAACGAAATCCCTCTACCCCTAATCATAACTGGAAAACGAA